TTTTTTCTGTGGGGGCAGGGATGGAAAATTACCTGGAGAAAATGGTGGCGACTAGGGTTTGGAAGTACGGAGATCATTCCAGATGCTGAGGGCTGGCTGTTCCCATTATGAGACTAACCAATTCTTGACATTGATTTCGGAAAAAATACTTGCCTCTGTGTTAGATGATTTTAACCTTTTTGGTAGGAGGTGAGAGTGGGCTAAGACTCCTTTGGAGCCCTGGTGGTGCAGTTGATAAAGCGCTTGGCTACAAACTAAAGGTGTACGGTTGGAACCCACCAGCCCCTCTGCGTGGGAAAGGCGTGGCAGTCTGTTTCCATGAAGAATACGGTCTATGGGGCAGTTTCTACTTTATCCTATAGGGTTGCTGTGAGTTGGAATCTGGTCCACGGTAGTGGGTATCGAGACTCCTTTGGGGCTCTAATAAAAACAAGGCTTTTCAGGACAATTCTCCCTGCAACCCCCTGATTTGAATATTCATGCATCCAAATATTTAAGGATGACCTGATGTGGTGCATGCAGTAGGGGGAACACTGGACTGCTAACTGCAAGGTTGGAGGTTCATATGCACCAGCCTTACCTTGAAAACCCTATACAGGGTTGCTATGAGTTATAACTAACTTGACGGCACTTAACATTTTTGTGCCAGACCCTGAGTTTCTAGGCAGTAAGGATCCAAGAATGACCTTAGCAAAGTTTGTACTCACAAATTTAAACCCATCTTCTAACCCATTTCTGTCCATCCTCATATGTGACAGGAAGCACAATCATAAAATGCATTTGGGACTTGATGAGTAAACGTTGTTGTTGTTAAGTGCCGTCGAGTCAGTTCCGACCCATAGCGACCCTGTACAGGGTTTCCGAGGGTGTAAATCCTTACGGGAGTAGAAAGCCTCATCTTTCTCCTGCGGAGCAGCTGGTAGTTTCGAACCGCTGACCTTAAGGTTCGCAGCCCGATTCGTAACCACTATGCTACCAGAGCTCCTTAGGGGGTCAATTTCTTGGATACGGGTTAAACAATAAAGCTTTTCAAAATAAACAAGATGCCTACCTTTTCACTGCCAGTTTGCTGATTTAATTTGTCCCATTCACACAGCATTGCGTGATCTCAGTACACAGGCATTAACCTTTCCACCCAAGAAAAAAGAGGTACCTACCCAGTCCTCCCCTCCCTTCCTCTGGGCCTGATGGTACAGGTGACACCCCTGCCCCAAATCCAGCAACCAGGGAGTCCTCTTGGGAAACTTCACAGTAACCAAGCTCAGTGAATCCAAGGAACACATCTAATAGTAGGAAGCAGAGGTCAGGACAGCATTTACTCCATAAACCAAAAAAACTAAACTCACTGTCATTGTATCAATTCAGACTCATACTGACTCTCCCTAGGGTTTCCAAGACGAAATCTTTCTGGGAACAGACAGTCGCATAGTTCTCTCATAGAACGGCTAGTGGGTTTAGAATTGCCTATTTTGTGGCCAACAAGCCAGTACTTATCTCACAGCACCACCAGGACTCCCTATCCCAGCGGAACTCAAAGGCCATGGGGAGAGCTGGCAGCAAAATAGCACCCCACGGGGTGGTGCCAACAGTAAATGTGGTCAGCTGCTAACCAACAGGATGGAGGTTTGAGTTCACCCAGTGGTGGCTAAGTACCACAGGTCTACTTTGATATACAGTGGAATATCCTCATTGGCAACTGATTACCATGCCCTCATCTGGAGTGGTGGTAGTGGTTATGTGTCCTGGAGTTGGTTCTGACTCAATAGTGACCCTGCTGTAGTTACCTGAGGCTGTAAATCTTCATGGGAGCAGAAAGCCTCATCTTTCTCCTGTACTCCTGCAGAATGGCTAGTAGTTTCAAAATGCTGACCTTGAAGTTAGCAGCCTGGCTCGTTAAACACTATGTTACGTTAGCAGAGCTCCTTTCCTCTGGAGTAATTTAACTCAATGTACTTGTTATCTTCTGTACAACCAGTTGAATGTCACCATGGGAAATGAAAGTGGTATGTCATAGCTTTTCCTCTAGGGATTTTTTAAGAAGCCACTGGTAAGACACATGGGATCACCATGCCTGCCTGGACGTTCAACAAAAATGGGCTTGGTAACATAGAATTAATGAATAATTGAGGATTTACCAAACCTTGTGTTTTGCTATTAATGAATAAAACCCAATCTCTTTTCATACATTTGAAACAATCAATTTAGGGCTGCTTCTGCTTCCTGTGTAGAAATTTTGTTATAACCTTTGGAGCTCTGGCAGCACTTCCCAACACCCACAGATATGTTACAACCCAGTGTCTTCAAGTGGATCCCAACTCCTAGCAACCTTGTATGTTCTCATTGTTGAAGTGCCTTCAAGTTGGTTCCAACTAACAGCGACTCTGTAGAGGGTTTCCTAGGAGCGGCAGGTGAGCTTGAACCACTGACCTTGCGGTTCAAACCGACTCTGCACTCCAGTGCATTAACCCATAATGCCACACCAGGACTCCAGCAACCCTGCATAGGGTTTCCGAAACTGCAAATCTAAGGGAACAGACAGCCTCATCTTGCCTTTGGCAGCCCAACACCTAACCCACAGCGCCACCAGCGCTCCTTAGATATGTTATAGTAATAACATTGTTTTGATGCATCCTGTGATCAGTTTTAGGCTGGCCCAGCAAGAACTATGAATAAGAACATGAATCACTAAAGTCATCCCCTTTCTGTCTGGTCCCCGGTGCATTCTATCCAGTTGAGATAGAATGCCAGCCACGTAGGTCATATGAAATTTTTTAGTAACCAGAAGTAATTAGGAAGACTGGTGTGGCAGCAAGATAAGCATTTGACCTCAAGGTCGGTTTGAACTGCAAGGTGGGCGGTTCAAACTCACCTGCCACTCACTGGAAACCCTACACAGGGTCAATATGAGTCCGGACCTATTCAATGGCACTTAACAACAAAATACAGGTATGAAGCCCTAGTATGGCACCATAGGATAAGCAATGGACCACAAGTTCTACGGCTCAGACCCACCAGTCACTCCTCAGAAATCCTACACAGGGTTGCTACAACAACAATAAACGCATGCATACTTACTTTATTGCTCTTTGCAGATATTGTGTGGGGTGGGGGTTGTTGTTTTTGGTGGGGTTTTTTTTTTTTTCATGGAAAGTTTGTGGCAACTCAGGGTCAAGCAAGTTTAATCTTTTCCCAACAGCATGAGTTCACTTTGTGTCTGTGTGCTCCTTTTTGGTCATTCTCACATTTTGAAGTTTCTCATCAAGTTATTGCGGACTTCATAGACTATAGTATCAACATAACTTCTCTGTACTGGGAAACCAAAAACTTCACATGCCTCGCTTGATTTCTGCCTCTAAGGATTTGCCTTTTCTAGATCTCTATGATTTTCCTATCAATGGAATCATGTATAGGGTTTGTGCACATAGCATCATGTCTTTAAGGTCCAGTGGCTGTAGCATAAAATTTGTGATCGGGTTTTTGCACATAGCATCATGTCTTTAAGGTCCAGTGGCTGTAGCATAAAAATCTTTTTTTTTTTTTTTTTATTGTGATTTGGGTGAAGGTTTACAGCCAAGATCATCAGTTTTACATTCAATAAAACCTATAGTTTGTTTCATCTCAATGATTATAATCCCCTCCATTTAACAAGTTATTCCATCCCCTTCCTATTCCTTCTCAACTTTGTTCTTAGGAAAATATTGCCCTTTTGATCATCCCAGATGATGATCATTCCATGGTAAGCATACCTTACTAGTGGGGTTGCCCCTTTTCTTACCCCCTTTCCCCCCTATAAACGTCCTGCTTGGCTGAAAATTGTGCAATGAAGGTGAGTTTCTTCCCTGCAGGGTAGTTAGGAGCCATACTCTGTTTTCTCCAGTCTCTTTCTGACCAATAAACTCGGTCATTTTTTATTTTTTTAATAATTTTGTATTTGTTCCACATTTTCTCCCACTCTGTCCAGGACCCTGTAATGTGATTCCTTTCAGAGCAGTTGGTAATGGTGGCCAGGAACCTTCGAGTTATTCTGGTCTCAGAGATGGGGCCAAATCATCTTCCATTAGTTCACTACACTAACTGATTGCAAGCACATTCAGTTCTTACCACTCTTCTTTCATCCACACATGGAGTCCAATAGTTGCGCCTTAGAGGGCCGCTCATGAGCTTTCAAAATCCCAGATGCTACTCACACAAACAAGACATAGAAGAACATTGTCTTTGTGGACTATGTTATGCCAGTTAGCTGTGGTGTCCCCAGGCCCATCAACTCATTGACTTAAGATGTTTGTTATCTAGGAAGTTTTCATCATTTTGCCTGCTCTATGCTCCACCACATTTATAGCTATGGAAAAGTAAATACTCATGTACAAATACCCTTTTTCAAACTCATATATTTATGGACTATATGTTGTTAAGTACCATGGAGTCAGTTCCTACTCA